CCCAGCTACTCGGGAGGCTGACGCAGGAGAATAGTGTGAACTCGGGAGGCAGAGTTTGCAGTGAGCCGAGATCACGTCACTGCACTCCAGCCTAGGCGACCGAGCAAGACTCCATCTCGAAAACAAAAAAAAAAAAGAATTTTCCAAGTCTTAACTTATGTCTTGTTTATTTGACAAGGAAAAAATAGAATACAACAATAAATAACATGTAAGAGATTTCAAGTGGTTTTGTTTTGTTTTTGCAAAGAGCTGTGCTCCATTCATGCTGAAAGCTTGATTCATTTGTGTATATAAAATTTTGGGGAACTTCAATATTGTTAAGACTTAGGTGTTGTGCCCCTGACATAATTTTTCCCCCTCACTAGTTTGAGGCCCTTTTGCAACTTGTTCTGAAAGCTAGCAAGTTCCCTTGTCACCCTGCTTCTGTAAAGCCAGAAATTCTAAAATCTAGGAGCTGAATATCACCCAGATTTGTTGCCTTCTGGTGTGGAAAGCAAGTTGCCTTTCAGATGTCTGAAGAGTTGGAAGATCTTGGTGAACCTATCATGTTTAACCCACAGTGACGGGTGATTGGCAGCGTAACAGCTGAGCGACAGCCGTTTGGCCAGGAGTTCAAACCTCAACACGATGAGCCATAGCAGGATCACGGTTTGATTTGCTGTGGCCATGAAGTTTGAATCACCAAATACAGACACAGAGGCAAGGGTGACAGCTGGTAGCCATTCTCGTCAATAAAGTTGTGACGGTTGAGATGTACAAGTAACTAGAGCCTGCTAATTTCATAGACTTTGAGCCAAGTGCTTAGTGTCAAAACCAGCTATGGTCAATGATGCAAATGGTTGTGAAAAGTCCTTCATCAACAGCAAGGCTCTCCCCATCGGACTCTTTCCTCCTGATGGATTAGAAGCAGATTGAATCCTGCTTTCTAGGAATAGATCCAGTTTGAAGAAAAGGAGGCCTTATTTTTAAAAATTCTAGTAACTTCTTAAAAGTCTAATTTATTAAGTATAATTTACATACAGTAAAATTCAGTTTGAGAAAACTGGATCCCCTCCGCAATCAAGAAAAACAACATTTCCAAAAAGTTCCCTCATGCCCTTCCTGATGTCCACCCCCACTCATCCTCAACCCCTGATAACCACTAATGGGTTTTCTGTCCTATAGTCTTGCCTCTTCCTGTGTCTTGTCCTTATAGTCTTGACTCTGTAAATGGAGTCATACAGTGTGAAACTTTTGAGTCTGGCTTTTTTCACTTAGCATAATGCTTCTGAGATTCATCTGCATGTTGCATTTTTTAGTAGTTCATTTATTTTCATTGCTGAGCAGAATTTCAGTGTATGGATGTACCACAATTTTATTCATTTACCAGCGGAAGGACCTTTGGATTGTTTCCAGTTCTTGGTGATTATGAATAAAGCTCTTATAAACATTTAGAGCATTTTCCTTTTAAGTAAAATGTATAGGAAAGTAAATAACTTTGCTTCACAGGAAACTAGAACTGTAGGAGCAGGAATGATCCTAGAGGTGGGAGTTGTTTTCTTTTTGATTAGCTGACAGATATGGTTATTTTATACTTTTGCTTAGCAATTTATAGTCTATCAAAGCACTTGCACACACCTTACTTCCCATAATTATCGTTATAGTAACCCTGAGAAGTAGGCTAGGAATCTTGCTTCATTTTACAGGTGGAAGCTAGGAAATCTCCTATAATCCGGACTTCCTAATCCTTATTTGCTGTCCTTCCTTCCAAACGTTTTCTCAACACCCTGTCTGTGCAGAACATTCTGCTAGGTTCTTTTGGGGTACCCACAAAAATTTTTTTCCCATCAAGACAGAGCAGTCTTACATGGAATCAAACTGAACCCCCTGACCCAGGCGTGAGAGGAATACAAAACTGAGCCACTTAACACAGCCGCAAGAAGCAAACAGTCTATAAGCTACCAGAAGCAGGCAGGACGTAAATTTTAAGAAAGAAATCTTGAAGTTGGTGGGAGTCAGAAGAGAATGGATTGACAGTCCCTAGATGATCAGAAAGAAGGGGAATTCCCCAGACAATACTGTTCCAGGACAAGCAAGAAACTGATTTCTAGGATAATGGAAAACTTCCCGCCTTGGCTTCCAGGTTGGGGAAAACAGTTACCAGGCAAGATTTTCTTTGAACTCAGTCAAAGTTTAACTGGGATAATGACTGGAATTAAGTACTGGATAATCAAAGTGGAAAATGCTTTCAGAGGCCTGAAATTGCTAGACTTGTTTTGTGTGGTAGAGATGGAGGCCAGGATTTCTTATGGGCTGTAGAAAAAAAAAATGTGTCAATGAGATTCTATTCTTTAAGAATCCAACTTTCTTGGTGCTGCTTTTGGTGGCATTTGCCTGTCAGACCTCCCACAAGTTGGCCTCTTTATCCTTTATATTCTGATAAGATGGCTGATGACCAGCTGTCAGTCCAAGCCAGAAACCACACTGGCTCCTTGTAAAATCTGCCAGCAGCAGTTAGGAGGGGAAGCCTGGGCTTTTGTGCCTCATCCATATGTGCCTTCTCTGCCAGATACAGTGGGTGCCCTTTGCCAGGCCCATTATGAGGGCAGGAACGTTTACGCAGCCTAGATCACCAACCAGGAAACCTACCAGGACAGTGTCTCTGTGAAAAAATGCCTGATCTGTCCTTTGGGTGGATCACTAAATGCCAGGCCAGGCCACAGCCTCTTTCTGCTGCAGCTAATCTGTGGGACCATTAGAGGCCCAAGCACATGAAAGAACGTACAAAGGTCTGATTTTTTAACTTTCATTTATAAAGGGGAAAAAAAGGAGAATAGAGATTATTATTTTTAAATGTTTAAATAAATGACCTGCATCATGTAATATTTAGGAGTTCAGACATTAGGAAAAAAATTTTGTGCTTGGGTTCAAATCCTGGCTCTGCCACTCTACAGCTGTGGGACTTTGGGCAAGTCATTTAACCTCCCCTTGTCTCAATTTCCTCAGCTGTAAAATGGGAATAAAGTAGTCGCTCTCTTTTAGGGTTACTATGAGGATTAAATGAGTTAATGTTTGTAAAGGACTGAGAACAATGCATAGAACATAATAATCCATATGTGTGATAATGTTTGTTAAATAAAAATAATGGAGCTTTTCTTACCTCCTCCCACCCAGTTTTCCCCCGCACCTCCCAGCCAAATCAAGCTGAAAGTACATACCTTTCAGTTTGATCTTTTCCTTCTTTCTTCTAATTTCCATCGTTAACACCTGTCATGCTACTCCCCAACTCCAAAATTAGATTCCTAGGGCTGCCATAACAAATTACTGCAAACTATGCAGCTGAAAACAACAGAAACTTATTCTGTCACAGTTCTGGAGGCTAGAAGTCCATCAAGGTGTCAGCAATGTTGGTTTCTACTGGAGGTTCTGTGGGAGAGTCTGTTCCAAGTCTCTCTCCAGACTCCTGTTGGTTCCTGGCAATCTTTGGCCTTCCTTGGTTTGTAGACCCATCACTCCACTCTCAGTTTCCATTGTCGTATGCCTTCTCCCTGAGTCTCTCTGTATCTTCACATGGCCTGTTTGTAAGGACGCTAGTCATTGGCTTCAGGACCCACCTTCATCCAACATGACCTCGTTTTTAATTAACTACATCTGCAAACACCCTGTTTCCAAGTAAGGTCACATTCTGAGGTTCTGAATAGACATGCATTGTGGGATATCACTAGTCAAACTGATACACCCCCTTTAAAAGTTGCGGGTGCTTTCATATCTTTAATCTCTTTTTACTCTTACTTTCTGTATTAGAATGCGAGCTCCTTGGAGGAAGGGCCTGTGTCTCTTTAAATTTACTTTGAGGCAGCTAGAAATGTTTACTTGGCCACTTGAAAGGAATGGAGAGACAAGGGTGATAGCAAGCTGGGTGTGGAAAGGTGATGCCCAAGATGGAGGAGTCAACCAGAAGGAGGGAGAAAGACAGGATTTTTAAAAATCGCATCTGAGCAAATAATAAAGGAGAAAGGTCAGAGATACCAAATATTCTAATGTGGTACATTTGGAAGCACTGCTGCCAGGAATAGAAATAGCCAAAGCCAGAAGGAAGGTGCAGGAAGTGAGAACAAGGTCTAGATAAGAGGCCAGGAAAAAAGGAGATGTGGACAGAGTTAGGGTTGACTGCCTCGGGGCGGGACCAGAAAAAATCTCCTCCATGAGGAGGGGGAGTCCTGCTGCCAGTGTAGTTTCTGTCTAAAGTCGGGAGATCCAATGGAAAGAACCTGCCTTCTCCAGATATCTGAGGTAAAAGATATTGGAACATCTTCAGTCCCTCGTGACCTTGAGGTCATGGAGAATGGAAGAAGAGATGTGACAGCTGCGAAAATCCCTAGTGGAGCCATTATTTTGGGGAATCCAGCAGGAAGTAAGCTGACTGGACAATGAGAAGCTGCCATGTGATATTCCTCAAGTGAATATAGCGTGTAGTCTATCTTCTCCCTGACAGCATAACAAAGATCTGTGATCAGGGCTGCAAGATAACAGGAAGGGAAGGGCATTTCCAAGAGGCAGAGATGTGAAGGAGAAAAAGGAGCAGCTTCTGGGAGAAAGCTCACCCTTTGGTTTACTTCCCTGGTAGTGGCAACTGAAAGACAGCAGGAAAGCTATCCGGTGACCAAACCAAGAGTCCTAGCCTGGTGCACTCATGACCCCTGTTTGTCACTGAGTTTCCCTATTTGACTAATGTGATCAGTGACACGGTTTCCCCAAATTACCCAATGTCATTCAGCTAGTAGAAAATCTAGCCAGAACAATTATTAATTCTCCTGTTTCCTACTATTGTGCCCTTTCTCAACTAGACTGTATTAAATCTTAAAAATAAGCGCCAAGTCCATAGGTGAGATTAGTCACCTTGGTGCCTTGAACCGTAAGAAAAGTGTGGATTTTCCTGGCCAACTTGTATCACCCAGTTTGGTAATTCGTCTAGGTGTGGGAGCATAACCTTGAGAAAGTCCTTTTGTTTCATTCCACAGGGGACGCTTCAAACCAAAGCAGTGGGACACATTCCCCCGTCGCAGCGGGTACCAGGGGAAGTGCCAAGGTTCAAGACTGCAGCGAGCCTGGTGACCATAAAGGTGGAGTTTTTCGAGGTTTGGAATGGGTGTTCTAAACTCAGGGGCGTTCCAGAGAAGGTTCCAAAGCTGGAAGTGATAGCCTCTTATATAAGAACCTGCTGTCCACCACTCCTTTTTTCTATAGGTGACAGCCGATTAAATTTAAGACCAACCTTGCAGAGGACTCTGAAAGATGATTTCATAGAAGGGAATAGAATAGACAGGGATAAGCTCAGTTCCTCACAGCTGCCTCTCCACCTCCTTCCATATTGCCTGGGACACTGGTCTAGTTGCAGCTCTCCTTACCAATGGCTTCTCCTTAACTCGTCCTCTTGAGGCAGACCCTGACATGTTTGTATCAGATTTACCTTAAGACTGAGGAAAGTTTTGTGTCTTGGGAAGATCTGTGATCCAGAACCTGGTATATAAATCTCAGACTGATTGAGAACATTCATGGAAGGAAGGGGTACTGTGGACACGAAGTGGAAACGTGGGTTTCTGGTCTCAGTCCTCCACCAGTTAATATCCCTAAGCTCCAGTCATGGTAACATGAGAGAATTGGACTAAATCATGGTTTTCAAACATTTTAAAAATATTGCAGTCTCACCCTTTTAAATTTTGAAGGTCCCTGGACTTCTGCTTGAGAGGCTGTGATTTTTGAAGTACGGGCTTTAATACCAGCACCTGCATTTGATGGAAAGTGAGGACTTTGTGGTAGAATTTACAGTTACAGTTGATCTGCCAACCCCAGTGCCACTGCCCAGTGTGTAGGCAGAGAGGCTCTGGGTACTTCAGACTCCTTTAGTATCTGTCATTCAGTCTGTTTCAAGGAAATATAGAACTGGAGCTTTACCTTGGGGCAAGGAGGTTAGGGAGTAGGAGAAAAAGAGAGGTAGCAGGATCCAGGAGAACATCAGTGTTTCTTGAACTTGAGGAGACTTGGGGATGGAGACAATCGGAGAGTTCATTTTCAAAAGAAGCGTGGCTGGCTGTTACTGACTGAGGCTGTGGACCACTGTTTCCCCCTAGAAGTCACAAATAGGAGATCCTCCAGTATAGGAAGTCACAAATAGGAGATCCTCCAGTATAGGAAGTCACAAATAGGAGATCCTCCAGTATAGGAAGTCACAAATAGGAGACCCTCCAAAGATGTGTTGTGTTTGGCCAGGCACAGTGCTTTTTAAAAAACTTTGAACCTGAATGTCTTTAAGTGGGGTGTGAATTATCTGGTTCATCACAAAGCTCGCGATTCCCCATCCTCTTTGCCTGATACTTCACACATTTATATTTCTTCCTAAGTGGCCCCAAAGGCATTTGCAGCACCTCCTAATGGTGTTCTTGGTGTTTTTGTTGTTGTTGTTGTTGTTGTTGTTGTTTTATTTCCTGACAGTCAAATGCTTTTCCATCTTACTTCAAAACAGTCTGGTAAAGACTTGACACTTGACTAATTTTTCTCCTTGAAAAATATGAATGGCTCATAGAGCTCAATCAGAGTTTGGAAGGATTCAGTTCCTCCAGAGCTCCACTCCAAGTATTGCTTTACTTCATTAAACAAGAAACACTTAGGAACCCTCCCTGATGAAAGGTGACCCATCTCTAGAGAAGCTTCTATTGTCACACCTGCACATTCCCCAAGTTTGGCATTTTATGAATATTTAAGTTCATAATTTTACTTTTCAGCCATGTCACTGGTCTAATTTTATATTTTATTTTATTTTTTGAGATGGAGTCTTGCTCTGTGGCCCAGGCTGGAGAGCAGTGGAGCAATCTCGGCTCACTGCAAGCTCCACCTCCCGGGTTCACGCCATTCTCCTGCCTCAGCCTCCCGAGTAGCTGGGACTACAGGCACCAGCCACCATGCCTGACTAACTTTTTTGTATTTTTAATAGAGACGGAGTTTCACCATGTTAGCCAGGATGGTCTCGATCTCCTGACCTCGTGATCTGCCCGTCTCAGCCTCCCAAAGTGCTGGGATTACAGGTGTGAGCCACCGTGCCTGGCCTGGTCTAATTTTTTTTAACTCAACCTGTTCATACACTTAAAATGAGTCACCTTCTCTCTCTTCTTTTTCCTTCATATCTCCATTTCTCCAATTTCCTTGTTCAGAAATTCGTTTGCCAGAGAGAAGCCAGGTGATTCCAACTGTCACCAGATCATACTGAAAACTGACAATTTTGGATGCTGCTTTGAATTCAATGGTTTGATAATCTTATTTATCTCTTTAGTTTGACCCAAATCCTTCTCCCTGTTCTTCAGCAAAGCTGGGGGATGGAGGAGCAGATTCGCTCTAAGCTTTATTCAGAATATTCTGTAAGTTTCTGGTTTTATGCTTCAAATAACTCTTAAAAATCAATATTTTGATGACTGAAGTGTAAATTAATAAGAAACATGGAATAAGTTTTCCTTTCAGTTACATGAACAGAAATTCTGTGGGAACCCCAGCAAAGTAGCTGGGCGCATTTGCTGAACCAGGTAAAGATGTTGCTTCTTCTCATTCTGGTCTTGGACATGGCAGAGAGTCCCAAACCAAAAGAGATTTTACAGTTTTTTTTCTAGATCTCTTTGTGCTTTTTTCTTCTTTGGATGGCTATTGCTCATTATAATTATTTTTTTTTTAACTGAGGATCTCAAAATAGGTACAGACAAAAGCTTGCAATCTTAGCTTTCCACAAGGGCAATATCATTTGGACTTTGATCACTGGTAGCTCTTAGTGCTGCTGAATTGGGCCAGAGAACAAGATTAAAAATTATTTGTGGTGATTGTTCCTTCTTCACAGGGAAACAGAAAGATATTTGTATCCCTAAAGTGGGTTCCCCTCTTTTGTTTTTATTTCGGTTCTTGCTTTTATATTGCTTATCACAGCATTGCAAGTGAGTGCGGGCCAAACAGTGGTTTAGAATCTCCCAGAGGGGGAAATCTTGCCTGGTGCTCTAACTGGAGGATTTTATCAATGGAGAAAAGGCAATGGGGGAGAGGAAGGGAATTAGTTAATGAAATTCTAACAGGCTGTGGCTATTTTTCTTGATTTCTATTTTTTCCTTCTTTCAATATTGTTGCTTCACTGTTTGGCCATAATGTTTTGTCTCTGTGTGTGTGTGTGTGTAATAATAAAAATGTATTAATGTCTCACTTAAATTTTTCTCTTTATCCTTTTGGTGTTTGTAGCAATAATAATAATAACAACAACAACAAGTCTTTTTATCCATCACCTTAGCTCAAAAACTGCATTTATTCCACACAAGAAATATTTATGCTAAGGAGCCAAACTAACAATTTAAAATCAGCACATGTTCTTTCCAGAACAGTCAACACAAAAACAACTGATTTCTGCACATGTTCTTTCCAGAACAGTCAACACAAAAACAACTGATTTCTATACTTTTTATTTATTTTTCTACACTCCGTTTCTATCATGTATTCTGTAATCCTAATGTCAACCATTTATGCATCTTCCACAATAAGTCACAATTCCCAAATGTATAGATTATCTTTGTTGGTTATATTTCAGTTTGGATGGTTCTAGGTTATCTAAAATAAGGACGGCAAATAGGTGTGCAGTCTCCTTCCAACACTGATTGATTGGTAGTGACTACTTGGAACAGCGGTTCTCAGCCCTGGCCACATATTAAAATTGTCTAGGGAGCTCTTTTAATAATTGATGGCAGCTCCCATCCCAGATCAATGTCAGAATCTCTAGGGGCTGGTCCTAGGCATGTTTAAAATCTTCCTGGGTGTTTCTAATGTACAACCAGGAGTAAGACTCACTGATCTGGAAGTAGTGTCTCTCAAAATTTAACATGGATCAAGGTCACCTGGAGAGCTTGATAAAAACACAGATTGCCAGACTCTACCTGTAGAGTCTCTGATTCACAAAGTCTGAAGTTGGGCCCAAGAACGTTCATTTCTAATAAGTTTCCAGGTGATGTTGATGCTACTTGTTGGGGGTTCACACTTTGACAACCACTGATGCGAAGTGTTAAGAAGGAACTTGAGGTTGAATTAAAGTTCAGTAGAAAAGAAGGCCATGATTGATTAGCCACGGTCACTGGAAGAAAGAATTGTATTTGCTACCCTCATTCTTGAGAAACTCATCAATAAACTGTCCTCAATCAAAATGTTGAAATAGGTTACTCCTGGGATGATTTTCTCTTTACAGTTAATCCTAACCACATCATCACATTTTGTTCCTTGACCTGTCCACATCAGCAGGCAGCCTAGCCAGCCTAGAAGCTGATCTGCTGACTTTAGCACAGTGTTGTTCCAGCTATTGTATACTGCTTCTACTGGGACCCAAATCACTTGGGGCTTCTAATCTGTTCACTCTTTATATCTATTGCCAAAGAGAGGTCGCTTGTTTTCCTTTAAGCATGAAAACAGTTTGCTGACTGGGACCAAGCATGGAACAAGACCTGGAATGGAGAAGAGCTCAATTTTAATGACATATCCTAGAAAAAAACTATAGAAAGTCAGGGAGTGGGATGAGGGCAAGGGAGAGAAGGGCTGCAGAGAGTGTAGATGGGCACCAAAACCTAACCCTACCTACTTCTGAACATATTCTTAGCCCTCCTTTCTTTTCTCTCAGTTTTCAGGGGCTCTGTAGATCATAGAAGCCATTCACAAGCAGAATCCAACAATGGTCACGCACAGACTTCAAGCAACTCTCGTGCTGTCACAGAGAAAAATGGGTGAGTGTAAGAGTTCCCTGTTGTAAACTCAGGTGCTCCATTCTAATGGATAATGAAACAGAAGTATTTCTACCACTGTGGTATTTTGGTGAACTGGAGAGAGTGGAACCAAAAAATGTTTCCAGGGCTAGGCATGGTGGCTCATGCCTGTAATCCCAGCACTTTGGGGGGCTGAGGTGGGTGGATCAGCTGAGGTCAGGAGTTCGAGACTAGCCTGGCCCACATGGCGAAACCCCATCTCTACTAAAAATACAAAAATTAGCCAGCCATGGTGGCATGCATCTGTAATCCCAGCTATTCAGGAGGCTGAGGCAGGAGAATCGCTTGAACCAGAGAGGCGGAGGTTACAGTGAGCCAAGATTGTGCCACTGCACTTCAGCCTGGGTGACAGAGCAAGACTCCGTCTCAAAAAAAAGTGGTTCCATCAGATTCTCCCATGTCATGGGCAAAGTCTTTATTCTACAGAGCAACCTGAACACAACCCTACTTTTTGAGTTCTCTTCATGGTTAAATCTATACTTAGCCTCATTAGGTTAAACATCCTTCCCCTGGATATTTAGCAATGTCTGGAGACATTCTTGGTTGTCACAACTTTGGAGGGAAGGGTTGTACAGCTGGCATCTAATGGGCAGAAGCCCGTGACGCTGCTAAACCTCCTACAATGT